CCTTTCAAAGGTGGATTGCCGAGACTTGACTTATTCATTCTATGTACACTTCCGAGTGCCGGTGATACTTTTTAAAGTCAATAATAATCCTACTTACAGCAGCTTCATTAATAAATACATTAAGATACATAAGTTCCTTTTAGTCAACCTTTCAGAAGTGGTGTACCAAGATTTAACTTATTCACGGCTCTGTGTGCCAGAAGAAGGAGGGGAGTGGGAGAAGGGGAGGCTGGGTACTGTGACCTTATTTTCTGAACCAGCGGCAGCTAGTGAGAATGGTTTAATTTAAATTATGAAACAGATTAAGCGTTTTAACTTTCTCATGTTAGCTTATCAAACTTCATTTTAAATAAAGTAAAATATTTTGTCCAACACAAAAGGGTTCCATGTTTTCTTTATTTATGGCAGGGGTGAGAAACCCTTTTGGGGTCGGGGGGTCACTGACCCACAGAAAAATCAGTTGAGGACCACATAAGTGAAAAGCAAAAAAACTTCTCCAAAAACCCCCAACGCTCATTGATGTGCCCCCCTCCCCAACTGAGACACCGCACTCCTCTGGTGCCCCAGCCTCATGGGATGAGGGGAAAGGAAGGGGGGGAACTGAGGCTCAGGACTTCCCATAGACCAGATTTACTTTTCTGGGGTTCTGGAGTTAGTGGCTATTATGGACCTTCTTAGGCTCTGGGGTAAGGACAAAAATGAGGGGTGCAGTGCATGAGTCAGGGCTGCCAACAAGTAGGATAGGGATGGGCAGTGCTTTTTTAGTAAGAAAAAAGGTGCCGGTACTCCAGGACAAAGTTATTAAGAAAAAAAAAAAAGACTTTCTGGCGGCTGAAATGCAGTTGCAGCCCCTTTAAGAGCCAAAATGCCACGCTGGGAGCTGAAAAAAAAAATCCCCGCTGTGCATCCTGAGCAGGCTTTCATCAGGAGCCAAGTTGCCCCAGCAAAACAGGCGCCGGTACGCATGGGGGAAATGCCATTCCTTTTCTGTATGTATGTTCCAGGCCGTACCATCACAAAAAAGTACTGGGGATGAGGTACAGGATCTGGAACGGAGGTGAGGGGCAGAAGCAGGCTGGGAGTAGGGTGTCTGACAAGGTGGAGGGAGCAGGAACAAGGGAGGGTGCAACGTGTGGCCAGGAGAGATGGTACAGGAGCAAGGGAGGGTGTTGGAGCAAGTTGGTAGTGCCGGGTCTTTGGGGTAGGGAAGTGAGGGGATTGAGGGGGGCCTGGGGACAAGGGGGGACCTTACCTGGCTTTGTGCCCCCTTTCAGCAACGGCTGCAGCCATGCTGTCCTGGCCGCCCCAGAGGGAGGGCCACAGGGCTGGCCCTGGATTGCATGGCTGCGGCAGCAGCACCTCTGGCCTCAGGGACCAGACCCAGACTGTGTGGCATGGCTGTGGTGCCTCCGGTCCCTGATGAGGCACCACTGAGGAGCCTCAGCTCCAGTGCTGCCTCCTCCCCCCGCAGCTTAACCTGCTGCAGGGAAGAGGGAGAGCTTTCCAGCGGCTGCGTGGGGGAAGAGGGACGAGGCTGAGCTCCCTCCCTTGGGCTTCTGAAAATCAGCACATGTGCCATGCATGCCATAGGTTGCCAACTGCTGTGCTAAGGGGTGGGTCCTGGAACTGCCTTGCAGGTTGGCTCTAAGTGCTAGGCAGGCCGAATCCTCCCGCTAAAAGGCTTTTGCCCACCCCTGGTTTAAGCAAACAGTTTAGGTGCTCAGGCCTGTCTTCATGCTGCGTGGTGGTCGGGTCTCTGCTTTGGCGGAAAGTCGACAAGTGCAGGGGGTTTTCCACAAGAGGGGGAATCTGCCACCCAAGGTGTGAAGTGGCCGGGGAGGATGCAAGCTCCCCCCCTTCACTCCACAGCATCCCCCCTGGCTGCCACTGGGTCAGAAGGGATTTTGGCTGCAACACGCCGACCAGGTCACCAGGGGTCCTAACCACAATACGTTGCCCAGTTGACCTCCATTTCTTCAGCCAGCTCTGGGTCAGCTACTCTGGGCTGGTTTCCAGTTCCTTCTGGGGTCCTACCTAGCTTAGCCTCTGTTCCTCAGGAACCACCGGGGCCAACAGTGCTGGCAGCGTGTCCATTGGATACAGGTCAAAGTTAAGTAGCAATCCAAGTGGCCCAGACCAGTCTTCTAGGCCCAGCAGCGACCTGGGCAGCCCAGGCCAGTTCTCTCTCAGGCGGTGTGGTTGAGCCTTCCCCCTCGGGACCTTAGGCAGAGCATCTGGCTTCCTCTGTGGCTGGGCCCCACCTAAGGTCTTAGCTCCTGCTTTTATACTTCTGGCCCTGCCTTTCTGCTTCTTGTGGGTGGGGCTGGGTTGCTCTGGCCCTGCCCACTAGGCCCCTTCCAGGTCAGAGGGAGACCAAACTGCTTCACCGCACTCTCATACAATTTATGGCACACACAGCAGGCTGCCACCACAGTGGGAATGTTACATTCGCCGAGGTCTAACCTAATCAGTAGGTTACAGAACCTTCCCTTTGAATGTCCAAAAACATATTCTATCACCATTCTGCACCTGCTCAGCCTGTAATTGAATTACTGCTTCATGAGCCACAGAAGCAAGGGGTAGGCTGGGTCACCAAGGACTGGCATTTTAAAGTCTCCCATTGTAATTTTCCAGTCTGGGAAAACAGTTCCTTCTTGCCATTTGCAGAAGAGGCATGATTTCTAAAGATGTGAGCATTGTGCACCTTTCCCAACCACCCCAAGTTGATGTCAGTGAAATGGCCCTTGTGATCCACCAGCCCCTGCAGCACCATTGAGAAGTACTTCTTGCAGTTTATGTACTCTTTTGCAAGGTGGTCAGGTACGAAGATGGGGATGTGCATTCCATCTATTGCCCCACTACAGTTAGGGAACTCCAGCATAGCAAAGCCCTCCACTATGTCCTCCACATTTCCCAAGAGTCACTCCACTCTGAAACAGAAGGGTATTGATTGCTTTGGCTACTTGGATCACAACAGCTCTCACTGTAGCTTTTCCCACTCCAAATTGATTCCCAACTGGCCAGTAGCTGTCTGGCATTGCAAGCGTCCACAGGGAAATAGACACTTCTCCACTGTCAGAGCAGGTCTCTTTATGGTTTTCTTGCACTTCTGGGCAGGGGAAAGCAATTCACAAACTTCCATGAAAATGGACTTATGCATGTGAAAGTTTTTCAGCCACTGCTGATCATCCCATATCTGCATAACAGTGCAGTCCTACCAGTTTGTGCATATCTGACGGCACCAGAACCGGCATTCCACTGTGTCCAGAGGATTGAATGGAACCAGCATTTGCAATTCACACAGCTCACGTGCTTGGCAAAAGAGTATGTTCATGGCCTGCTGAGATTCTTCCTCATTCCAACAGACTCTGGATACACTCCGGACATGTTCCAGTTTTAGGCACACCAAGGTTAACATCAACATCATAAAGCTTTGATGCTCAATGGGCTCCACGATGGGTTCCATGCTTTTGCTGCTATAGTGTCTGCAAGGATAACCAACAAAGAAAAAAGAGTGCGGAAACGCTGTTTGCCATTGGTCTTAAGCAGGGGAGGAAAGAGGATATGAGTGCATTGTGGGCCACTGATGCATCCAGAACCACCTGCTACACAGTTTTGGTCCTAGCATTCACAGGGAGCATAACCTAGAATGCAAAATAGCACAGGCACTGTGGGATAGCTACCTACAGTGCATTGCTCTCAAAGTCCATGGTAGCCACCCTACTGGGGACCAGTTACTTTGAACTATGTCCAATTCTTGCACACACTGGGGACATGCACCTTCAACTTTACAAAATCTAAAACTCGTGCTTAATAAATTTGACCTTATCTCTCAGTGTAGACGTGACTTTAGTAAGAACATCGGCATGGATTGTGAGCATTACAGCAACAGGTCTGTTGTTAGATGGTCTGACTGCTCTCCATCAGGACCAGCTAAAAGAAGGGAAATAACTGGAAACTAGATCACTCAAGTTAATTCTACAACAAGATTGTACTGTCAAGCTGAAAGGAAGCAGAAAGAGAAGAAATTTAAGGCGTTTCTCTTCCCCCCTTCTTTTATGTGAAGTCAATGTTATCATTTGGTTGCGTGCCAAAGAATCATCTGGCTACTCACCTCATCTCCCTTATACCAGCTCTGTGCTTAATGGGGAGGTAACAGTGGCCAGAGATAAGGGTTTCGCAAAATTTAGCAATCCTACCTCCAAAATGCTATAACTAGCTTCGCTGCAGTGTATTCAAGTCCACCGAGCAGGAAACTAAAAAGGGAAGCGAGGAACAGCAATATCCAAGCAAAGTGCAGAAGCGAAAGTGAAAGTGGACCTTGCCAGCGTGTGCTGTCCGGTGAACTGCTGCGAACAAATCCCTGGGAGACGCCTTCGTGTAAATTTAGGGGGCGGAAGAAGCGGGGGGGAAAGGGGGGGACACGGAAGTGCTAGCTGCTTTACAATATTACACAATCCATCATTCAGACGAGAAAGAGGAAGACCCACGTTAGCAGGGGGCGGAGGGAGACCAATCCCTGAATGGGCTAAAGTTGCAAGAGGCCAAAGGATTAAAGTAGCCACGCCGGGGTGTGTGTGTATGTTGGAAGGGAGAACTTTGCGTTTCCCCGAAGTGCCCTGGGGCGAACAGCCCCGAGTGCCTGCACGGGGGAGGGGTGGGAGAGACGCGGCGGGGCGTCTATGAAGGAGACAGCCCTGGGTGCGTTGTGCCTGGGAAGGGAAATAGCTCTGTGGGTGCGTGAGGGGGAGCAGGTCCAGCCCTGCGTGGGGAGGAAGGGAGACGCCTGGGGCGTAGGAGAGAAGGGAAGCAGCCGCCTGTGTGGGTACCGGGGGAGCAGCCCTGCGTGAGGAGGAAGAGCGACCGCACTAGCCACGGGGCGGGGTGGGAGGGGCCGGGGCCGGCCCCCTGTGGGACGAAGAGGGACAGGACTAGCCCAGGGTAGTGGTGAGGGGCCGGGCTCACCCCAGTGTGCGGAGTAAGCAGCCAGGAGCGTGTGTGTGAGAGGGAAGGGAGCAGCCCGGTGCGCGTGTGGATGTGCAGCGCGCGCCTTTGTGGGAGCCGGGAGACCCGCTTTGTGACTTCAGCGGCTCCGTAACAGAGCCCGAGCCGCCCGCCCCGGCTGCGCCCCGCGCCCGGCCGGCGGGGCAGGATGCTCTGCTTCATGCCGGGAGTGGCCTTCGTCCCCGCGCTGCTCGTCTGCTGGTCCTCGGCCGCCTTCATCATCTCCTATGTGATCGCCGTGCTCGGGGGCCACGTCGAGCCGCTCCTGCCCTACATCAGGTGGGAGCCCCGGCCCCGCTCGCGGGAGGGACAAAAGCCCCAGCAGCCTTGGGGCGAGGACTGGGACCTAAGGGGGCGGGAGGCAGGGGTTGGGGACTTAATAGTGGAGGCTGCTGGGGAAGGGAGTGGGGGGAACCCTCTGAGGCCTCGGTGCGTGGGGAAGGGTGGGGGTCCGGGGCACAGCGCAGACGGGGGGAGCTG